AATCAAAAGTTTGGGGATAGTAAATGTTTTTCTTTCTTTTCTTGAAAGAAATCAACACTTTTATTTAGCAAGGATGTGTTAAATTGATAAAGAGGGATAGCACTTATATTGTTAAAAAAGACAATATATATATATATTTATATATATATATATATGTATATTTTCTTATATACAATATATAATAATTTTATATATAATACAAAATATATTAAGTGTCTAATAATAACATGTGTTTGTGTGGTCTGCCATTTACTCTTTATTTCCCTCCTTCCTAAAATTTTCCACTGGTTAGCTCCACCCCTCTCATCTATCCTCGGCCCCAAAAAGGCCATGACCTGGGCTGACCACGCCTCCTCCCTTCTCCAAACACATCCTTCTTTTTAGGAACCCCCGCCCCCATCCAAATATAGTTGTCATATTTGGTTTCTCTCGCGGCTGGGGGAGGAGAGTGGGGAGACGTCTGGGGTGTCCGCAGCTCCAGTCAGGTTACAGGGAACTGAATACCACTGATCAAGTTATCCAACAGGCCAAGACTGCTTCCTCCAAAGATAGTCTTATTTCCGGGTATATAACAAGAAATTCATCAACCTCAATTTAGGAGAAACTTCACGCATCCCTCACGCATACGACTCGCCTTGTAGGCCTATAAATGAGAAAATGGGTTTTCTGGGGTATTCGTAAGCAGTTGTCATCAGGAGATGACTTAAATTTTGATTTGACTTTCTCATTAAGGAATTTCTCATTTGAAATGAACATTTTGTGAATGTTTGCTTTTCACATGAAGCATGCAGTCTAGAAAAATAGTATTTCATGAGTGAATCGAACAAAACCAGACAAGAACATGCCCTGGTCATATTCAGTAAAAAACGATGTCGATGTGCAAAAGATGTCTCATTTTTCTCCCCCTAAAAATCAGGGTTATTATAGTTACTTAAAACTAAAATTGAAGCCATAAAAAAATGTGTTGGTTATATGAAATGAAACATTAACTGAAATAAAATAAAATATTTAAAAGTTTTTATTTCAGGTAGTTGCCAAGGCAACATTTCTCATTTTAATTTAGTTTAGATGTACTAAAATAACTAAAACTAACATAAAAAAATAATAAATATTATATAAAAGAACCCAAAAACTAAAATAAAAAAAAATGACAAAAACACAAAAGAAAAGTACTAAAACGGAAATGGAAAATTTGAAAACAAAACAAAATATTAATGAAAACTATATCAGTATCGCAGTGATACTAAAATAACTTGAATCACATTACTTTTTCTTTTCAATTTTGGAGTACAATGTGACCTGGATTGTTGTGTGGTTAACACCTTTGTGTGGTTATCTGATAAACATTATTATCAGATGAGGGTGACATTTTTTTAAATGGTGGAATTTCCTCTAAACTGAGCTGAAAATAGTCTGAATGTCTTTTTTTGCATCAGCTTTTTTAAAAAAAAGGACTAATGTTTATAATGCCACTTATAGTCAATATTTAAAGAGCCATATAAATAAAATACATATAGCATGTGTATATATACTAATGAAGACAAAGATATTTGTGTTGAAATGAACAATGCAGATTCAGATAATTCTCTTGTAGATGTGTGGAGTACAGCGCACAGGTATTGAGGGGACTTCCTCTTGCATACTGAATTGGTAGGCAACTGTTGAAGTCAACATTTGAATAGAGTTGTTATAGAGCTCATTTCATGCCCATTGTTAATTACTTGCCATTGATCAGGTACCTGTCTTCCAAATAGACTTGCAATGCACTAAATTCAGGGACAGTTTGCACCTTCCTGAAAGTACACTAATAGCTTTCCACCGTTGTGTAGATAAAGCTTTTATCAGATTTGCCTTTCTCAAAGTTGGCAAACCTAGACTTTCCATTACATAAGTGAAAAGAAAAGAACTCGATGAATTGGTAAAATTGGTTGGTGGTGTGTTTGATCGCGGGGTTTCACAGAATAGCTTATCAGCAGATGTACTTTTTTGGTTCCAATACAAACACTGGCACTTTCCCAAGATTCATTCAGAAGTAAATCTTACTCAACAGCATTAATACATCTGAAAAAGCTATAAAGCATTGTAGACCTTATTATATAAGACACATGCATGCAGTGCACTTGGAACTCCAGCTGTAGACTTTGTATTTGAGTGGTTTTAGTTTATAATCTTAAATATCTGTGCTGGATACCTAATACCTAATATTTAAAATGTCTGCCAAAGTCATTTTGGTAAGTATAAAGTTGTACATTCATCTCCAAAAGAGGAACTTCGACGGTTCTTCTTGGAAGATTTCTATGGTTGAATTTCTAAAGACACTGTACATTAGGTTTAGTAGGTGTAGATGGTGTTGTACAGATGTGGAGTGATTGTGATGGTTGTATTTTGTCTTCAGGTTTCTCCTCACGGCTGTAGCTGGTCTCTCCTGCTATTCTATTCACCTCCTGCTGAAGTCCTCAGGTGTTGTGGGTAAGATGAGGCACATTTTCTCCATCAGTGTGTTGTATGGTCATGTCCTCATCAGGTGGACAGATGCATTAAAGTTAACACACAGTTACTGAATTAACTGCATTTTTATTGAAATTTGAAAATAAATTCCCTGAAATATGACTATGGTTAAATATAGTGACGAAAAAATAGTAACACTGGACAATGGATTTAAAATTTTCGTTATACATTGAATCATAAATTTGACATTAATTTGAGGTTACCACTACTAGCTAATAATATAATACAGGTACATTTATTGATCAACTGGCCAATTAAATAATTTTATAATATTTATAATTTAATTATAATAAAATTTTATAATATTGTGATATGACATAATTGTAATATTTGGCATCGCACTATAAATAATAAATAGTCATAATAAAACGAGATTTTTTTCGATGATTACTTGTGCTGTTTTAAAGCATTTTTATGTAGTTGATGGCATTGTTTGTGTATTGTTGCGATGGCATTTCCTTTCTGAAAACACCATTTTAGGGCTTACTGAGTTTCCATGTTAAACTGCGGTGACCGCAGGCAACGATAATCATAACATGAGATACGGTGTTTTGTGGAAACTTGGCTCCGGTGGTGAGATTTGTCTCTCTCTTCATGTTTGACTGATATTTATTTCCAGGAATCAGATCTTATGAACAGCTGGGATTCAGGGCCTTCGGAATGACAGGGAAGATGGCAGCCGGAATCGCGATCACTCTTCAAAACATTGGAGGTAAAGAAAATCTGACAATTAAATTAGCCCAAACTGACTGTTTCCAGACAGTTTCTTTATTCATATTTTTTTATAGATTTGACAGATCTTGTTTTATTCATCTTTATTCTGTCTTTTCTCTTCATTCATTTCATTCATTTTTAGATTTTCCTCTCTGCTTTTGCCAGTTAACTTCCATACCTGTACTTTCATTCACACACTTTCTGAATTGGCAAAATTATGAAACTTGCTTTATGCTGATAATTAACACTATGTATGTGTGTATATGTGTGTGTGTGCATAAATACATTTACAAAATACAAAATAAATACATTTTTATATATTGCAAAGTTGTACATTTTCCAAAAGTTAAAAGCAAAATATATTTAAAAAGCATATTTATATTTAAAATATATATTTATAGTTTTTTTCTTAAGTTTTATAGATTTTTATAGTTCCAGCAGAATACAGCAAGCAAAATGAGCATAAAATCAGCATAAACCCCTGACGGTTATATTCTTTTGCATGCGATTCTTCTAATTTACTAATTTTTGTCTTTCCTATAGCCATGTCCAGTTACTTGTACATCGTCAAGTCAGAGTTCCCACTGGTTCTGCAGGCGTTTTTGAAAGCAGATACCAATTCAGGGTAAGGACTTTAGAGTGGCATTGTAAAATGCTGAAATGAAATGAGAAAATCTTGACCTTTGCTCAACATGCCATTTTGCCAGTTAAATGTGAATGAATTGACAAATCTCCGTTGGCTCTGTAGCCGCTGGTATAGACATGTACTGTCATTATCAGCTGACGATGTCACCGTTGAGGTCACTCAACACTCAAAAATCTCAACCTGGCATCTAGGGGAGGTGTTGTGGGCTCTGTGAACTGTGATTGGTCAGTTAATAAGAGAACGGCAGCTGATTGGCTGATACGATCTCTTTCCCACCACACCTCTGTTCTTCTGCACTTGACAGCTGCTTTAAACAAGCGTATCGTCATGGCAATGTCAGTAGACACAACTCGTTTTTTACATCTGAAAACAAACGCTGGGTTATAACTTTATTCAGCTGCTTGTGTTCTCAGGTTTTATCAAGTTTAAATATTGTGTTTTTATCAAGTTTAAATATAGACTAACAAAACATTAAAATGCAAAAACGTCACTCACATCATCATCATTGCATCTCGTGCGCCACTGATGACGCTTCCTGACACACACCTAAACGTGGCCTCAAAACCTACCTTTTTAGCAAAGCCTTTGAATGATTCTTATTTTTTTTTTTTAATCTGTATCACTTCAGGATTCTGTGTGAATATAAAGTGCATTATAAATAAGATTTATTATTATTATTTATAGTATGTTAACAATTTTAAGACAAATTTACAAAAAAAAAAAAAAATTAAAAGGGGTATTAATAGGGGATAATAAAATTGTTGCTGTTTTTATTAACACTTTTTTTTTAAAGATTAGGGCTGGGCAGTTTAACGTGGCCTCAAAACCTACCTTTTTAGCAAAGCCTTTGAATGATTCTTAATATTTTTTCTTGTTTTTAATCTGTAGCACTTTGGGATTCTGTGTGAATATAAAGTGCGTTATAAATAACATTTATTATTATTATTACCTAACATTTGATTGTACTATTTTTGCATTCAAATGCAAATGTTTATTTTAAATTCGACTAATATTAATTTTTTTATTCACAATCTCCTCATCACAGGTAGGCACAGCCCTCAATTCAGCATGTGTTTGTGTCTGCATCACTCATAGCATGTGCCTATAGGTGTGTTCGACTTCATGCAGCACTGCACAGATCGATCGCAATCTGACTTGAAGCAGTGCATGCCGTTTAGAAATTTTGTCCGACTTGAGACGGCGCTGACGCCACGTGACTGTCACGTGTGGCAGCAAAGCACCGCGAGAGCGCTCCGAGAGCAGCCGGCTGACTCAGCCAGAGCAGTTTCTCCAGAGCGGCTGCAGAAGCTCTGATGACGACACAACTATTTTACAATGGGCCAGATTCACCGCATGACAACGTGTGTTTCGGGTTTATTCTAACATCCTCAATAGCAATAATGCTCACAAATCTGTGTTTTTAGAACAGTTAAAGTAGGGCTATGCAATTAATCGCATACGATTGTCAAGCGCATCTTGTCAGTAAAGCCGGTTCTGTGATTAGTAGTAAATCACCATCACCTGCTTTCAGATGGAGCAGCATTTAATACACGGAGCCGTAGTTCACTGACAAGCTAGGCAATATCGCGTTCATAATCGAATGCGATTCATCTGCGATTATGAATGCGATATTGCCTAGGTTGTCAGTGAACTACGGCTCTGTGTAGTAAATGCCACTCCATCTGAAAGCAGGTGATGGCGATTTACTACCAATCATGGAACCGGCTTTACTGACGAGATGCGCATGACAATCGCATGCGATTAATTGCACAGCCCTAAGTTAAAGCTTTTTTTTACTGTAGTCACAATGTTATATTGAGTCACTTTATCAAAAAAACACTGATAAAAGCATATTTATCCCACTTTATTGATATTTAAATAGTATATGTTAATGTTGTTTCTGTTGCTCATGAAAACGTTTCTGAAACGTCTGTGTGTTTGACAAATATTGCATTTTATTCACTTCATCTGTGATAGAGTATGCAAACACCGCGAGAGCATCACTACTGGGAGCAGAAGTTGTCCGACTTGACATGTCGAGAAGGGTATAACTGCAGCCTGGATATCTCCAAATGGGGGAGGGAACTCCAAAACGGGGTGGGAGCCAAAATAGGGCGTGGCTTCCTCCCATTGACAGACAGGCACATGACACGCATGCGCAATTTTTTCTCCCAATCCAGTTCAGTGGAAACTCCGCCCCACAGCTGATTCTAAAGATTTTATTGGTTGTGTCAATCACAGTGTTGATTTCCTACACTATGCTACAATAAATGCTAACCCCTACGCCTACCCCACACCTGATCCTAACCTTAACCAGAGAAATTGACTGCACGGCGGGATTGGCGCTGAATAACGTGTTAAAGAAAGTTCAGGAGATAAGCAGTTAATAAGATTATGCGATATGATATCTACGAGCTACGAGTTCCGTAACTCCCCAACCGGTCCTCACTGGACGATGGCACCTTTTTAGTTACACCCAGCATTACTACCCCCTCCTACTCTGCGAATTTCAAGCCCCGGGACGCCCCCGTTGGCTGAAACAAAGTGATAGAGTAAAGTCTTTCCCCTGCGCTGCGTTGAGATGGCTCGCGGGAGAGCTTGAGGGTGATTCCCGTTTATTAAGCAGAGGTTCAAACTCCAGTCCGAACAACACTGGCCACGAGCTTTGGGCTCTGCTCTCACGGAAAATATTTATTTATATAGCATATTTTATTTTAGATGAATTAGAAACGATGTTTAATTTATAAAGTTTTATTTTGAAATGTAAGTCCATAGCAATTGGCTGAAGCCAGAGCCAAGGGTGAAAGTCTTTGCGCGAAGAGACCCCGCCCCATTTTGGAGGTTCTGTCCACTTTTGGAGTTCGCACCCCATTTTGGAGATCTCTGGTCTGCAGTTATACCTACTTGGTGAAGTCCGTTTTCAACTCTGCCTCCGGCTGCAAGCGGCTACTCTCGCCGATCGGTCTGTGCAGTGCTGCATGGAGTCGAACACATCTTCTATTGTTCGCTATATCCAACATTTTTTCTATCGTTATCGAAGGTGTACCATCGATAAATACTGATACCGTTTTATCGCCCAGGCCTAGTTTAAATGTTGTTACCCAAAGTCAGCATGTAAAATCATATATATTACATCTACACATAGTCCATTTATTGTACTGCAGAGGAATCGTTATGCCCCTAACAATAGTGTATCTTTATTATCTCTCATATATAATGTATGATGTTTAATTTCCACGTATAGTAGTCTACATATAGTTTGAGAGGGTCGCGCATTGGCACACCAGCCCCCCCTTCAGTGTCTGAATACCGGGACAAGTGGAGAGTTGCGGAGAGGGTCTGAAAATAGAGGAGTCTCAAACAAGGCCTGGATCTACACACTGTGCAACACCTTGTGACTCTGTGTGTGTGTCCTCGTGTTCACAGTGTGGCGGTTACTTGAGTCCAGGAGCGGGAACTGCGCCATGTTTCAGTCAGCTCTGGGCACGATATTAGATGGTCTGTGTCGCTAGTGGCCACAGCAAATGCAACATACTGTCTCATAAATCATGAGAATCGCAGACTCAGACTGGAATCGGATGGAGTTAGACAGGTTGATTCTGGAATAGTGTAGATGATTTCCACAGCCACACAAGTGAAGATGCTGTTAGTTTGTCACACAGGCAGAGGAACAGAAAATCAGAAAACAGAAAAACAGACAAAATAGGCATAGAGTTATGAATACATTTTTTTACTGTTTGCTGGTTTATTTTGTTGCCCTTTTTATTCATGCTTCATTTACAGCTCTTACTATAACTTAAGAAGATATGATAACCATATTTGGATATTAGTGTACACTACTGTTGAAAAGTTTTGAGGTTGGTAAGATTTGTAATTATTTTTGAAAGTCTCTTATGCTTATTATTGCTGCATTTATTTGATTAAAAATACAGTAAAAACTGTAATATTGTGAAATTTTATTACAATTTAAAATAACTGTTTTCTATTTGAATATGTATTCAAATGTAATTTATTCCTGTGATGTAAAGCTGATTTTTCAGCATCATTACTCCAGTCTTCAGTGTCACATGATCCTCCAGAAATCATTCTAATTTGCTGATTTTCTGCTCAAGAAACATTTCTTATTATCAATGATGCAATATCAATGATGCATGTTCAAAAGAACAGCATTTATTTAAAATAAAAATCTTTTGTTACATTACAAATGTCTTTAATGTCACTTTTGATCAATTTAAACTAAAGCATCTTTGATGAATAAAAGTAATAATAAAAAAAAACTCTCACTGACCCCAAACTTTTGAACTTTAATAAACTTAATAAACTTAATAAAAACTTTTTAAAAAAACCTTTTGACTTTTATATTGAGCAAATAATTATCTATAAATTATAATTTTTATTATGTCTGTAATTTAAAATTGCCACATATAGTGGAAATTGCAAGTAATGATCAGACAAAGAGTACGTTTATCTTTGATGTAACACTGTAACACTTTTATACTGCTGGGAGAAAATTTAATGTTTTTGAACATTAGTGGAAAAGTGAACATTAATCACCATAATGGTGACAAGCATTTACAGTATGATGCCTCTGTTTGATGTTTTTCAGTAAATTGTTGTGTTAAGCAATGAAATAACTGATCTAAACTGAAATCGCAGTAAAAAATGTTTTTTGCTTTTGACATTTCTTGAATTGTCTGTTTCTGTAGGGAATGGTATCTCAATGGAAACTACTTGGTGGTGCTTGTGTCTCTCTCTGTCATCCTGCCTTTGGCTCTAATGAAACAGCTGGGTGAGTCGATCATTTCTACTTCAGTCATCTCGTCTCTCTCTCTCCACCTCATGAAAGTAGGTTTCCGTGTGCGTTTGACCCAGTTGTATGGACCGTTCATATTACAGAGCATCAGTTCAAGCACTTTAAAAGCACGTTCTGTTCTCATATGAAGCAGTAAGCTAAACCAGTACAGCATGTTTATCTGACAGCAACAGTCCGTTTTAACCACACACAATTCTGTTTTTCTTGTTTTGACGTGTTTATAGTAATTGAATCAAGTTGACCTTGTCAGTATTTGTGTCTGGTCAGCTCTGTCAGCACAGATTAGCTCCTGAGATGAGTGATAGCTCACTGCACTTTTCTTAGCTCATGCATTTATAGTTGCAGGGATTCAGGCTTGAATGCATGTATGCAGCATGTCGATTGACAGTAGCACCGTGACGCCATATTGACTTGCTTTGCTATATTTACATTTTCAGGTTACCTTGGTTATGCCAGTGGTTTTTCGCTCAGCTGCATGGTCTTCTTCCTCAGTGCAGTAAGTATTTACCATCATCATCATTGTCATTAGTACAGATATTACTAAAGTTAATATGGAAACAAAATTTACTTGAGTCTTATTAAGCATGATTCATAAGTGCATGCTATTCCAGAGAAACAATATAAAGTTATCAAGACATTCATAAATCATTTATTTGGTACAAAAAATATACAGTTTATACCAAAAATCACCACCTTCCTGTCCCTGTATCTCATCCATAATTCAGAGTGTGCTGAATCACAGCTTCACATAACTGTTCACCCGCACATTTTTCCCCAGAGGAAGCAATATACTGCGTACATATTATATCATATCTACACACAGCAACGCTGACTCATAAAACTCTTGCTCAGACTGACTTCAAAGAAGACGACTGAGGCTTTTAATTGGTTTTAATTGGTTACACTCTCTCGGGATAAAATGATGATGCTAAGTGTAACGTTTGTCATGAAGCATTTGGCCCATTGAAGAATAATAATGTTTTTTTGTTTTTGCTATTTGACCTGCTATTGGGGATAACTATTTTTATGTCTTTCCTTTAGCCACCAAGACATGTAGCCATTAGAGATGGGCTTAAATAAGAAATGAAATAATTAAAAACACAATAACTGGATGCCTTTTTTCAAATTTAAAACCCTGATCACAAGATTGAAATTCCATAACTATAAATAAACGTTGAAAAATGGCTATTTATTTATTTATTGTTTGTTTGTTTGCCATTTATTTATTTATTTTCCCCCCCAATCCACTTTAGGGGAATTAGGGGAATACACACAGCACATACAATAAATACATGGCTTTTTCACCTTTAAAACATTGAAAAAAATTCCATAACAGCTATATACAAGCATGTCAAAAATGGCCTTAGTTTTTATTTTTATTTTTTTATTCATTTTTTTATGTCTTTGGACATGTTATCTGACAAGAAATGTAGCCATTAGAGGCTTGAATATAACTTTATACAAACATGTAAAAAAAATACCTTTTTTGATATTTATCCTTTACATTTTTGCAGTACAGTTTGTTTGATGGCAGTTAGAGGAATACACACAGGAAGTACTCATGTTCTTGACTGAATTATATGTTGAGTACTTACTACATACATACACAAAATAGCCAAAATGACCACCCTAGTAGTCTTTTTGTTGTTGATATTCTGTATTTTCCATTTGAACTGTGCCTTCTGTTCCTTTCTGAATCTTTAGGTCATCTATAAGAAGTTCCAGATTCTGTGCCCATTCGAGGAGTTTTCAGCCAATAGCACGCTGGCACACGCTCATTCAAACGCGACAGCGAACCACGCCCACGGCTACCATAACGGACATGTGATGGTGGACGACTCCCACTGCAGCCCGCAGATGTTTACCGTCAACACACATGTATTGCACTCAAAGAATAGCACATTTTCATTTCTGCTTTTACATTCACAGAAAAATGTATCTAAACAGCACTCTCTGTCCCACAGACCGCATACACCATCCCCATTCTGGCCTTCGCTTTCGTCTGCCACCCTGAGGTCCTGCCCATCTACACTGAGCTGCGCAAGTAAGTCGACTGCATTAAAGCAGCACTGCGACTGCGAGCTGTGTATTATGCAAATAGATTGAATAGGAATCTCATGTTTTTTTCCCTGCAGCCCAACTCAGAGGAAGATGCAGCACATTTCCAACATTTCCATTCTGATTATGTACACTATGTACTTCCTTGCTGCTCTCTTTGGATACCTAACATTTTACAGTAAGTTTAACACTCTTATATTTAACCGTTACTAGTACTAGCACACTGGATCTTGCATTTGGTCCAGTTTTATGTATGCATTATGTTGCATGTGAAATTAAATACAGTCCTGCTCTGGTTAGCTGTGCAACATATAGTTCATTTTTAAACATTTATCTGATAACAGCTGTAAAAATAAATGAATATCAATATTCATTTTTCTCCATTGAATGCAAGAACATGTCCTGAGAGTTTGCAGATTTCTTACTTTTTTCATTCTTTCATTATGTGTACTTTCTTTGTTTAATTGCTTTTACTCTTTTTTTTTTTGTAAGCACTTTGAGAAGCTTACTTTAAAGGCGCTTTATAAAATAGTTGTTATTACTATTTCAGCGTTTGAACATTCACATGAGATCATCTTGAAATATTCAAATCAAAATGTACTGCTTAGCGTGCATTATTAGAGCTGCAAACTAAGTAGATGAATTCTTGAATTTTGTCGCAGCTAATGTTGAGGCCGAGCTTCTGCACACATACAGCAGGATCGACCCCTACGACACTCTCATCCTCTGTGTGCGTTTGGCTGTGCTCACCGCCGTCACGCTGACTGTGCCCATCGTTCTGTTCCCAGTGAGTTTAACACGTTCATATGCTCATATCATAGAGATTGTGCTGTTTTGAGCATTTTTACCACAGTATATCCACAGGGTGATTTAAAATGAATCATACACCAAACAAAAAACTGCATTGCATTTGCGATTTGCCACTCATGCCCAAATAACCAGGAATAATATAAAATATAAAAGATAAACATCCTTTTGTTTGTGTATTATTTAATTCACTGGATTATTTAAATCAATACTAGAAGGTTAAGTAATACAGTGGTTCTCAACCCGGGGGTCGGGACCCACTAGGGGGCCTCAGCACACTTTGTTTAGGTTAACGTGTAGTTGTAAAAATAATAAATAATAACAAATAAATAAAATATAATTAAAACTATATAGATATGTTAAAAATTAATCAAACTTTAAATAAAATTAAAAACAGAAAATAGAAAAAAATTCTAATTCAGAATATGAACAAAAACTATAATAGTATCTCAGTGATACTAAAATAACGCTGCACTGATCAAAGGGTTACGCCACTTTTGTTCCTGTTAAACCCTTGATACAGATAAGCTGACGTTATATTTCGTAATGTAAATTTTTCCCCTCGTCAGTTTTTATTTTATTTTGTTTACAAACCAGGGTTCCTGGAAAACCTGTATATATGAGGGAATTTTAAAAGTTTCATTTCTAGACCTGGAAAAGTCATGCAAATCAATAAAATCTTAAGTCATGGAAATATCTATAATGAAAATAAGTTATTCTAATTATGTCAAACTCTAAAATATTTTACCGGAAAGAAATTGATGAGAAATAGCTATTTGTGGGTAAAAATAATCTAATCAAACAGCTGGAAAACTGTTAAATAAGTTTTTGAAACTTCTGGAATGATGGTATTTAATTATTTTAGCTGTAATTTTATACAATTGTTGGAAGACCTCAGATGATGCCAACCCTGAAACAACATACAGAACTACCAAATTTTGCTATAAGTTTGATTGCATCATATAATAATTGCTGTTAATAGTGTTTATCGTCTGTTTGATTACGTCTTTAATTGATTTTTCTGTACATTTCAGCCATATGTACATTAACTGACAGTCACCACTGATAAGCTACCACTAAATATTGTAGAAACTTAATTTTCTGTAAAGTTGCTTTGCGTCGATTTGTATTGTGAATTGCGCTATACAAATAAACTTGAATTGAATTGAACAATTGTTGTATTTAATTTTTTTATTATAATGCCACTCCCAGTTTCTGTATATAAAAAGTCTGAAAACAAGCTGTTTTGTCATTACAGCTATATCTAGCCTTAATTTTTGTGTTGTAGAGTAGTGGGACCTTGGTGTCAAAATGATTAAGATCCACCGATGTAATATATGAATCATTTGGGTTGAATAATACAGCAAAAATAACTACATTGTGATATATAGTTATTGTGATATAAAACGATTGATGCTGCCCATGATTTAGAGCAGTGCTTCCCAACCCTGGTCCTGGAGGCACCCCAACACTGCACATTTTGCATGTCTCCTTAATCAAACACCTGATTCAGGTCATCAGCTCATTAGTAGAGACTCCAAGACCTGAAACTGGTGCGTCAGAGAAAGGAGACATGCAAAATGTGCAGTGTTGGGGTGCCTCCAGGACCAGGGTTGGGAAGCACTGATTTAGAGGACAGATTAAGCTTGCTGTAAGACCTCAAAGTGGCTCAAAAGTTGCTTAAATTCAGTCATTAAAAATAGCATTAAAATATTCTCAAGCTTCAATCTGCTACTTTTTCTCAAAGGTGCGAAGAGCCATTCAAGAGATGATATTCCCTAATAAGACCTTTAACTGGATCCGACACGTTGCCATCGCTGTCGTTCTCCTGACCTTAATCAATATGCTGGTCATCTTCGCTCCCAACATCCTGGGCATCTTTGGCATCATTGGTGAGTCCTTCAATCATCACTGACCCAACAGCCCAAAATCCAGAGTGGTCAAATGTGCTTTCTGAGGGAAACAATTCTGTGTTCAAACATGTGTCAGAAATGCCAAAGCAGAGACTCACGTTGGCGTCACTTGTTTGTCTTGCTTTCTCAGTGTGGGTAAGGGACATTGACACTGTCTCTAGCCTTGAGAACAGCTTCAAATGTCACCGTTGCTTGTTTGAACAGATAATGTTGTGCTGTTAAATCAATATTTTTGTGTTTAGCTCATATTACTGGAAATACTGTGTCCCTAGAGTGTCAGGGTTCCTTTTGATCATAATGAAGAGGAAAACAAAACAGATCAATGACATGAAACTTTTTTTGTCCATGTTACTAAACTAAAATTATTATTATTATTATTTTGTCTGATTTAAAGTCTAAAAATATATTTATGATGTAAAAATTCTCTTTTTGAGATGAATTATTTAAATACAAAATGGTTAGGCGTAATCTTTTATTATGTGTAAAAAGGGCAGTGAAGCAGTTTTGAAAATTTGTGATATTTATGAAAAAATATTTTGACCTTTGAAAATTTTACAAAATGAAAAGTTTTGAAAATGTTATAATTAGCTTTGTGTTCTTTAAAATTTCTTTTTCATTTGAGAAATCATTTGACATTGACCCATGAGTCTTACTGTGATAAAATTGTTTCTGTTCACATTGAGTTCTTTTCCATTCTCATTTTCATCAGCAAGGAAAATGTTGCTGGAATTTTAATTGTCATCATGTTTAATTGTCATCAGTGTCAGATGTAATTGGATTCAGCTGATTAGCTAATCTATATTTGTCCTGTTCTTCCTCCTCCAGGTGCAACATCCGCTCCGTGTCTTATCTTCATCTTCCCTGCTGTCTTCTACATCCGTATTGTTCCCAAGGATAAAGAGCCAATGCGCTCTACTCCTAAAATCTTTGTGAGTTATGTTTGTATAATTTATGACTACCCAGTAAGACAGAGAAGTATATTTTAAATTTTTTTTAAAAAGCTTCACATTGATAAACGGTTATTATATAGAAAAATAAAACCACAATTTTCTTAATTGAAATAAAATAAAACATTAACTGAAATAAGATTAAATACAAAAAATTAATTGTTATGTGCTTGATGTTAAAGAGGGATGACCGTAACATTTAAGCTACATACTGGTAAAAAATGTATAGCCTAAATGCACTGTAAGTCGCTTTGGATAAAAGCGTCTGCTAAATGCATAAATTAATTAATTATTAATTATAAGTGAGACAACTGTTACTGGGTGTGATACAGACCAAAGATGACACTGAGAAGTAGTACGTTTTAGAAGTTTTTACTGGACGCGTTGTAAAAGAGTACAAATAAATGTGAGATTTAGCACAAAAAAGAAAACAAAACAGGAGTGTCACCCAAATAAGAGAAATAAACAGAACAAAACAATCCTTATAACTAACCCCTAAACTAAAAAGAAATATAAAAATAAAACCGAAATGTTCGGCGTGTACGACGCCCGAACTAATCTCCTCTAAACTAAAAAACAAAAGTACAAGGGTGGCGTAACACTCACAAACCTAATATAACAAAGTACAAACTAATCTAATAAACAAAACAAACAAGATCGTAACAACGATTGACTAGACATTCGAATCAACACCGAGAGACGTGTTTAAGTAGCTCGATGCACCGGAATGCATTCTTAACTTTGAACCCGACACATAGTAAGACTAAAACTCTTATCACGGACATCGCACACACACACAATCAGCTCGAGGCCTCAAATACAGCTGGCATGTCAGCGGATTGGCAGAACATCATGACGTCAGAATGATGATTAACAGTCCAGTCAGCCAATAAACACTGACCTAGAAGCGGAGTAAGAAATAGCACAAAAAAGACAGGAGAGCGAGGAAAAAAAACAAACAAACAATATACTCAAAACATACGTGGAACGTAACAGTAATATCTCATTTATACTAAAATAACACTGACCTTCAAGGCAACATTTGTGATTGTTGTTAAATGAATGATAAAAACTATATAGATATATTAAAGAAAATTATATATATCATTTATATTATGATATATTAAAATTAAATTGAAAACAGAAAATATAAAATAAAATTTTATTCAAAATACTACCAAAAACTATAATAGTATATACTAATTTATACTGCACTGATCCAAGGTTTATGCTACTTTATTCCAGTTACTCTGACTCTGATACGACCCATTTTCAGCTCTATATCATCACATCTAAGGATTTACATAGCGTTTATATCTCTTCTACTGCACTGTAAGTCGCTTTGGATAAAAGCGTCTGCTAAATGCATAAATTAATTAATTATTAATTATAAGTGAGACAACTGTTACTGGGTGTGATACAGACCAAAGATGACACTGAGAAGTAGTACGTTTTAGAAGTTTTTACTGGACGCGTTGTAAAAGAGTACAAATAAATGTGAGATTTAGCACAAAAAAGAAAACAAAACAGGAGTGTCACCCAAATAAGAGAAATAAACAGAACAAAACAATCCTTATAACTAACCCCTAAACTAAAAAGAAATATAAAAATAAAACCGAAATGTTCGGCGTGTACGACGCCCGAACTAATCTCCTCTAAACTAAAAAACAAAAGTACAAGGGTGGCGTAACACTCACAAACCTAATATAACAAAGTACAAACTAATCTAATAAACAAAACAAACAAGATCGTAACAACGATTGACTAGACATTCGAATCAACACCGAGAGACGTGTTTAAGTAGCTCGATGCACCGGAATGCATTCTTAACTTTGAACCCGACACATAGTAAGACTAAAACTCTTATCACGGACATCGCACACACACACAATCAGCTCGAGGCCTCAAATACAGCTGGCATGTCAGCGGATTGGCAGAACATCATGACGTCAGAATGATGATTAACAGTCCAGTCAGCCAATAAACACTGACCTAGAAGCGGAGTAAGAAATAGCACAAAAAAGACAGGAGAGCGAGGAAAAAAAACAAACAAACAATATACTCAAAACATACGTGGAACGTAACAGTAATATCTCATTTATACTAAAATAACACTGACCTTCAAGGCAACATTTGTGATTGTTGTTAAATGAATGATAAAAACTATATAGATATATTAAAGAAAATTATATATATCATTTATATTATGATATATTAAAATTAAATTGAAAACAGAAAATATAAAATAAAATTTTATTCAAAATACTACCAAAAACTATAATAGTATATACTAATTTATACTGCACTGATCCAAGGTTTATGCTACTTTATTCCAGTTACTCTGACTCTGATACGACCCATTTTCAGCTCTATATCATCACATCTAAGGATTTACATAGTGTTTATATCTCTTCTACGGGAAAAAAAGACAGAGCTGTATAGTAGAAATACATTGTTACTGTACATTTTTTGAACATTTCTAAAACTCTTAAATATCAGTTCACAAATTAGTCTGAATCGAAACATCAGTTGTTCAGGCAACACCTTAATTTGGACAGAAAGTGATTTTATTTGTTTAGATTAATGACAGAAAATGCTTTTCTCTTTTTCTCAGGCTGCCTGTTTTGCTGGACTGGGCGTGTTGTTTATGATAATGAGCTTGAGCTTCATCATCATTGATTGGACGACAGGCAGCAGCAGTACTCTGGGTGGCCACTAGGAGACAAACTCTGATGATTAATGTGTTTTTGTGTACGTGCCTTGTATGAGAGTGTGTGGCATACGTTAGGTTAGTGATGTAACATCTCATTTATTTCTATCCATATTTTTCTGCCCGTTATGACACAGTGGATGCCCTGTCCCACTGTGGGAAGACAAAAGTTGAGGGGGACCCAAATCAACATACCATTTTACACAGATAGCCTGCTGTCAGATAATGGGGAAAACTGCATTATTCTAAAAAAAAAAAAAAAAAACTTTTGATAAATTCAGATTGATGTTTTACATTTTAAAACCTGTAAAAGTGCTGATCTTGTCTATTTGGGCAGAGTTTTTTTTATTTATTGAAGGGTTAGTGCATCCTCACTTACCCTGTAGAAATATGCTGTTATGGCTTCAGTTTGCTTGTCGTTATTTTTATTAACTCTCACTCTCTGTTTCATCAATCCAGAGCTCTTATACTTGACACGACTGACTGCAAGTACCGTAGAAACACATAATTGCATTCTTCGAGCTTTCTTTTAAGTGACAGCAAGCTATATATCAGATTTTTACATATTTAATTCTGCGTATTACTTTGGACATTGAACAAGGATATTGTAGAGGTTTTGATTGCTGTCTGGGAGTTGAATGAAGCGGGCTAGTTTGGTAAAGATGGATCAGTAGATGGTTTACTCTCCAGGGGGCTTTGGACAATCAACGAGTAACATTACCACCTATTTTAGGTAACTTGCAGTGTTTTCGGTCAAGTGAGAGTGCAGTTTATATCGCACAATTTCACTGTGCCAAAGCGAAGGATTTCTATAATCAAACTATCATGAAATATATTTTCTGTTTTCCTAAAGTATGCACAGTAGACATAGAATGCAAGGCGTGCCTTAATCACATGGAGATTTGAACAGTGAAAAATGTATTTATTTAATTGTATCGAATATATTTTGCAGTTCGGATGAGTATTAGTGTAAGAGTATTAGTGTTATAGTATTAACGTGTACAATGAGTGTCCTTTATCATTTTTGTTTGTGTTGTGTTGAAGATCATGATGCCTGCATACTCAAGGTCATTTACACAAATGCTAGATATGGACCTCATATACATGTACAAAACCATATTTTACTTGAAATAGACAGAATCTGCCCTGTATTACAATTCCAACAATCATATTAAAGGAGTAGTTCTCCCAAAAATTTAAATTAGCTGAAAACTTACTCACCCTCAGGTCATCGAAGATATAGATGAATTTATTTCTTCATGGGAACAGATTTGGAGAAATGTAGCATTACATCACTTGCTCACCAATGGATCTGCTGCAGTGAATGGGTGCCGTCAGAATGAAAGTCGTTCAATTCGCGAACGAGTGGTTCGTTTGAATCGGTTCTTTTTGAATGTTTCATTCGAATTGATTCGCACAGCGCATGCTCTTCAGGTTATCCATGTGAGTCACATCTTAAAGACATTTTTTTAACCCATTATATATCGATATTAGATTACATTTTTAATCGCTATTCCACTTCATTACAGAGGTAGTGAAATGTGCTTTTTGCAAGTTTTTTCTTTTTCTTTATTTCTTTCTTAAATTAAAGAGGAATTAAAGATAGAAATTACTATATATTTACAATATCAATGAAGTAAAACTTTACATGTAGCACAATAGTGATAAACAAAGTTGCAAGTTAAGAGCATGCTATATACTATGCAGATAGCTTTACTTGTAATTACTTGTTTATGAAAAGTACATAAAAAAAAACCCCGTGGAGGAAAAAGTAGGCTATTACTTAGATAAGATTGTTTGATTGAATTTATGTTTCTGTAAACTAACAGAAACATTATTAAAACTGAATTTATGTACTAAGATTGTTGTGCCTTTTGTGTGAATGTTTCTTATTATTATTTAAACTCTACCGTGTGAATAACAATTATATTATTAGATATCTATTAAACTTGAGTTAAGCTTTCAAAGAACCAGTGAATCATTTTAACTAGTTCATTGAGCCATCTGAGCAAACCGATTCGCTAAAATGAATCGAACATCCCGCACTTAGTTGTTCGGAAACAGCAGAAAACTACTGCATTTCCCACAATTCACGCTCAGTTGTTCATTAGTGGGTGGGTGCCGCTGCACGCTTGGGCTTTTTCACATTCTTACGCTCTGTCTATTCCTCAGAAGAAAGCAGCGCGAGCGGAGCGCCACGCCGAACGCTGCAACGTTCTGATTTCGAATTTTTAAATATTTTGAATCGCCCTGCGCCAGGATAGATATGCAGAACGCTTGAATTTGAAATAAAATACCAGAGAATTTCTCACCGGTTGGAGACAATTCCGCGTGCAAAAACAGACATCTGATTGAGCGCAAGCAAATGATTTTGATTTCAGGAACTGTGAGCGGTAGATGAAAGCGCCGACGTCGCGGCTGCTCTTTGATCTGAAAGGAAGGAAGGAAGAAAGAAAGATTGATTGATTTGGTGGGAAACTAAGCAACTTTTTAATCGCGTCTACACATATTCGAACCCTCCTGATTGATGGAGAATCACAGGCCGGGGATTTTCGGAATCAAAGCTTTCAAATTGTGACACTTTGCGCTTTTATAGCACATCTGTCAATCCACGCGGCGCCTTTTTAGTTTACAGTTCTTGCGCGGAACGGACCGGGCCTATTTGACTTATTCTTTGAAGTTTGACGCGCGCACGGTTCGATCATGGGCTGCACGGTGAGCGCAGAAGACAAGGCGGCCGCCGAGAGATCAAAGATGATCGACAAAAACCTCCGCGAGGATGGAGAGAAGGCTGCGAGGGAGGTGAAACTGCTCCTGCTCGGTAAGCCATGGCACGTCATGTGCGTGTGATTTTCAGCGGGTCTGTGTGTTCAGAAGGATTCGGTTTTGCAGTGCTATTTGTCACACGCTTCATAAAAACAACACGCCAGTACTTTGCTACTCGCTTGGAGAAGATACATTAGTATGATCTGATCTGATGGGCGGTTCGGTTCGGTTCGATTATTATGGACAAACGGGATGGATGCAAACACCAGCATCCGCCTGATGCGCGTTTGCTGTCTTTCATTTGAGATTTCAATCCACAATATTATTTAGAAAGAATCAAACGGGAAGAAAATACCATGTTTTTGGAAATGTGCCATGAAAATACCATAGTATACGTTGAAGCAGATTTGCATACTATATAACTATTATGGTGTAGCCGTGTTTTCTAGACAAGGAATCATGGAAACACAATGTTTTTATATGATCCGTGAGAAGAGATGTACATTCCGCCGTGGTGTTCTTCGAAGCACATTGGAGTACCATCCATGATACTACCATGGTGTTCTGGACGTACACATGCACTAAGTACCATGGTATAATGATGATTTCAGACGGTATATGTTTTCATGGTACTCCAAACAAGGTAATTATGGTACTTTTTAAAAATTATATAAAAGTACCATGATGTCACCATCCTATATGGTCATGTATGAGAAAAACTGCCCTTCAGTACCTTAATGCTCTGTCAACACTGTTGTATGTTACATTAAATATAAATAATAGCTTGCAGAGTGCATAAGTAATGGAGATGCTATATAGTGTGTAATCTAGTTAAATTATCACCAATAATGTTGTTTTTATACTGTTTTTTTTCCCCCATGTAGTATTATTTAGCTTATTCAGGTCAATTTCAGATGTTCTCAAATGTAACCAACTTCAATAATACATTATGTAACTCTTTTACTATAATTCCATTAGCTATACTCACCTCTGCATTGGGAAAAAACATACTTATCAATGATTAATTATGTGGTTTCCATGGATACTGCATTGTCCCTTATGCTGATGTGTTTAGGCCTGGTCATAAATAATCTCTGCGACCCAGTTAACAGGGAATGTCTCAGAACTTTGGCTAACGTTCTGACAAGGTTATGAACAAACATTCTTCCAGTAACATTAATAGAACGTTCATTTAAAGTTATCTGGTATTTAGTAGCATTCTTAAAATATTAGCACAAAAACATTATTAATACATTGTTTTTCAAGTTTTTAGTTGGATGTTTGTCTAAGATGGTTTAGAGAACATTCACATGTAACATTCCCATAATGTTTGCAAAATAATAAAATCAAACGCTCCCCTTAATATTGTCTTTAACGTTCACATAACCAAGAAAAACATTTTTTAAGCATTTAAAAAACTGGACTTTCAGAGAACATTCAGAAATAATGTTTTCAGTACTTGAACCTTAGTGAAACATTCTTAGAACATATTTTGTTAGTTGGGTACTTTTTTTATCAATAACTTGGAATTTTATAAAGCCAAGAGGCATTCAGGAAGAAGGTTATGAAAAAACATTCTTCCAGTAACATTAATAGAACGTTCATTTAAAGTTATCTGGTATTTAATAGCATTCTTAAAATATTAGCACAAAAACATTATTAATACATTGTTTTTCAAGTTTTTAGTTGGATGTTTGTCTAAGATGGTTTAGAGAACATTCACATGTAACATTCCCATAATGTTTGCAAAATAATAAAATCAAACGCTCCCCTTAATATTGTCTTTAACGTTCACATAACCAAGAAAAACATTTTTTAAGCATTTAAAAAACTGGACTTTCAGAGAACATTCAGAAATAATGTTTTCAGTACTTGAACCTTAGTGAAACATTCTTAGAACATATTTTGTTAGTTGGGTACTTTTTTTATCAATAACTTGGAATTTTATAAAGCCAAGAGGCATTCAGGAAGGTGCATGCATGCTGTTTGATTTTTAGCAAGACAACCAGGTTAGAAATAAACAAAAGTCTGCAGGGAGTGCTGTTCTGGAGTAACCCTGCTGTGAGAATCAGACAAGTACGGCACTAAACAAAAGACTTCACCATTCAATTATACTTCATTAAAGCTGAGTTGCTCCCGCTGTAACCAATCCATTTTTATTTTGTTAGGTCCATTGGTGGTAAATGAAAGCATGCTCGTTTTGGAAAAATACTTTGGAGAAGGGGAGGAAACTGCACAGTTCCTGTAGTTACCGTATGCATACACACCTGTTTAATGGATCTTAAGTCATTAATTATTTTAGTACCCAAATCATCAGTAGAGAAACAGACTTCACAAGCGCAGTAGATTTGCACAATATTTACTTTGGGTGAATACTGTGCAAAATAATGGACGTGTAAATAATTGATAATATATCTTATAACATAGAATTTACTGAAATTGTTTACTGTTTATTGACAAGGCTATTTGTTGACTTTTTTTGTAGGAGACACCAAGGGAGGCCAGGTTATCACAAAATTTCCAAATATTGTCTGATTCTTTAGCCTAGCAGATATATCAGTATGCCTGTAGACATTTTTCAAATGTCAAAAATGTCGGGTCTGTTTTCGATGCAATCTTTATGTAGCCTGGTTAACACTGTTATGCACAGTGTGCCTGTTGACTATACGATATGATGAAAGTAGTTGCCCTAGTAAACTGTGAGCATGTCAAAAACCGCAAAAGAGAGAGAGAGGATATGATAAGCTGCTTGGTTTTAACCTAGTGCACACAATTTGTCACCAATCAGGCATTTCGCGTGAGTTCGGTAGTATCAGACTTGGTCATAAACCAGATTATGAGACTGTCAGTCTCTTAAAGTTAGCTTAGTTGCTTAAACTGTGGCCTAATTCTGGATGGAGCCGCCTCACACTTCGGTGCAGCTTCGCACAGTCGAAAGCTGGAGCGGTTGTGTCCTCTATGTCATATCCTGTTAGTGGCGCAGCATGTGTGCTCTGATGCTGACAGCATGGGGACAGGTGTGACAGCGGTGCTCTCCAAAATACGCTTTACCCTACGGAGAGAGCAAGCAGGAGTGAGAAAACAGGGAAAACGTGCCCGGGGAATAAGGGGGACAGGCTTTAGATGTAATCAAAAAATTGGATGAACTTAGCTTGACACTGATTCCCCCTAGGCACATATACCGTGTTCAACTTCAAAAATATCTGCATGTAAATAAATAAAAGCAATCCAGAAAGCACATATACTACATTATTCACATCGCAGGATTATAGTGTTAAATCAGAAAAGAGACAAGCATCACCCAGTGTTCAAGTCCTGACTGGTTCGGTGTAAATACGGGTTTCCACACACCACAGTGTTTACAGAGCTCCCACTAATGACTTCTTACGGTCAGCTCTGAAAAGGATAGAGGACCACAGCAGTAATCTCATGCCGTGTAAACACTGTGCAATTACTCCGTATTCTGCCTTGTTCAGCGTTTTCACAATATTGCTAAATGTACATAAATGATCAGTTTGAAGTATCCCGATTGTGAAAGTAATGCTGGCTGGCTTCCTGGGTTACTTTCCATTGTTAACTGGTTCAAATCAAGCACCTGACAGGGAGTTATTTTAAAATTCTCTTATTTATGCCTACTAGAAGATTGTCAAAGGAATAGTTCACCCAAAAATAAAATTTGCTGAAAATATGCACCCCCAGGCCATACAAGATGTAAATGAGTTTGTTTCTTTATCAGAGGAAATTAAGAAATGTAGCATTCCATCACTTGCTCACCTGTGGATCCTCTGCAGTGAATGGGTGCCGTCAGAATGAGAGTCTAAACAGCTGATAAAAGCATCACAAAAATCCACAAGAAGTCCATACCACTCCAGTCCATCAGTTAATATCTTGTGAAGTGAAAAGCTGATGATCCATCATTAATACATCTTTAACGTCAAACCATTGCTTGGCTGATACATGAGCCCTCTGTAAAAAAGTAAAAAAGTTGTCTCATCTGAATCAGGAGATAAATATGCACAGATGAAGTGTTATTATGGATTATGGACTCATATTTTGGCCAGAAGTGATGGTTTTAATGTTAAAACATCTTCATGATGGATTTGTTTCTTAAAACACACAGCTCTTCACTTCACAAGATGTTAATTGATGGACTGGAGTGGTGTGGATTACTTGCTACATTTCTCCAAATCAGTTCTGAATGATGGAAAAACTCATCTACATCTTTGATGGCCTGAGGGTGAGTACATCTTCAGCATATTTTATTTTTTGGTTCAACCATTCCTTTAAATTGTCACATTTCACATTAGTATCAATGCAACTTCAGCACTAGCAGTGTAAACATGGAGCAAAGCAATTATTTACATATGACCTTATATGTTGCCAGGATATTGAGCATAATCGAAGTACAATCATATAAAGGCACTCAGTGTTCAGCTGAATAGAGTTATGATGATGACTGATTTTAGCCTTTATTACTTCAGTGTCAATTTAATAAAATTAATTAATGTAATGATACCACATGCACTCAAAATAAGATGCCAACCTCATAAGAAACTGATTATAAACTGAGCATATATTTAAGTAAAAAACATTTTCTCACTGCTCCGCAAGGGCTATATCAAATATTCTCATAGCATTTCCAGAATTAAGCATTTTATAGGCAATTTGTTGTCTACAAATTGAGACTGACACCTGTGACGCCTACAAAATGTTGTCTCGCGCTGAGATTCGTGACAGAAACCTAGCGTTCAGACAGGCTTTTAATGATAATTTTTTGTAATAGCCTCTTTCGCTCTGGAGGTCCTCAGTATGCGTCATGTTTGAAACCGCTCTCGTCAGAATTACTGACCTTGCCACCTCCTCATGTCTCAGATGAGCAACTCACCAGTATGACACGCGTCTGCTGGTCATGGATACTCCAGACTCTTATCTATCAGTTGGGTTTAAGTTAAGAAGTTGGCAGGACGTTTGGATGCCAAGAATATCCTTGTCAAGTTTTGTTTTTACCCTCAAGAATATGCCCACAACATGGACGGCAAGTGTTGAATCCCCAAA